CAGAAAAGCGCGCGGCCTAATACCAGTGTGCGTGGACCTATGTACCTATATACCTATATACCTATATACCTATATACCTATATGCCGATATACCTATATACCTAAATTCATATATACATATATACATATGTACATCTATACATCTATACATCTATACATATATACATGTAGACATATAGACATATAAGCATATATATGTATATATGTATGTACACAAATATGCACATATATATACATATACATACCCATATACATATATATGAATAAATATAAGTATGCAAAAATATAAGCCATAAATATATAAGTAAATATCTATATATGCATATATACATATATACATACCCACATATCTACATATAGCTACCCCCCCCCCCCCGCGTCCCGGATGTACCTACCGACTTGTGTGTTTATACCACCGGTGTGTGATTGTTCGAGAGAGCACAAGCGACAAATCGGATTTCAGAGGCTGCGCAACTCACCTACGTCGTTCTGTCTTACATCCTAGGGCCCCTAAGGGCAATCAGCCCCCCTGGCCACTGTAGTGAAGGCAGGAAAGGCAGGAGAAGCGTAAGGATGGGGGGGGGGGGTGGTCGCCACATATATATATATACACACATATACATATACATATACAGTTATATACATATACATATATACATATATACATATATACATCTATACATGTATACATATATACATAGATACAAAGATACATAGATACATAGGTACACAAATACATAGATACAAAGATACATAGACAAACAGGTACTCTATAGATACACATTACATATATGCACATCTATACAGTCTATGCAGTCTATACATCTGTATATCTATACATATATACATTTATACATTTGTACATCTGTACATGTATAGATTTGTACGTACATACCTACATATATGTCTGCATATGTGCATATCTGCACATATGGATTTTTTGCATATATCCGTATATTCGTATATTCACATGTTGATGTTTTCATAGATGCATACTTGCATACTGTTGTTCGCTGGTGTCATATTTGTGTTGTGATTATGTCTGAACATTTTCGTCACAAGCTCATTTAGGTATGATGTGTTCGTTCAGCTATTTGTTTCTTCCTTTAGGTCCAGGTGTCCCGGTTTATTGGATTTTGTACGGTTGGGTCACAGGATCTTTGTCCATGTGTTGTATGGGGCGGTGGTGGATGGTAGCGGCCCCTTGGTTGAAAGGCTCGGCTTCGGAGGATCCTATTGATTGCCGTAACCTGCAAAAGCCTACATGTTCGGGCTTCCGTGTTATATCCCTTTGTTGTCCGCAAAGCAGTAGGTTTTGGGGTTTCATGTATAGCTCGCACTAGGTTGCCGTTTCATTTCTTGAAGCTCCCAAACGTCAGGTGTGGGTTTTCGGTCTGCAGCGTAAATGCTGATCTTCTTGAACCCCAAGCATGCAGGGCTGAGGGGCTTTGGGTTTCTAGGGAGCTGTCTAGGGTCTAGGGTTGGATTGTCACTAGATGTGGAAGGCCGTGAATTGGCATAAAGATCTGACCTCCTAGCTGTTCGGGCTGGAAAACTTAGTATTATAAGTAGTGAATGCATCACTCTTGTTTGTCTTGTGGTGAAGGTTAGTATTGGATAAGGAGGTTCTTGATATTGTAATCCACGCTAGAGCTCCTTTCCGTTTGCCTGGTTTGGGTTCCGAATTTGGGGCTGCGGTTTTGTGGCCACCCAAGGACATGGAAATCGACGTATCCGACAGTGTTGCCCTGTATCTCGGCTGCAAAGTAATTCTTTACTGCCCTGGTTGTCGTTCTATGTTGTCTGCGGGGTTTGCTGTTTATAGGACTGTCGGGTTGGCCCAGAAGTGTAGAGTCCAGGGTCAGCGACGCAAATCTCAGTTGTTATTCATGTTCGCTGTGTTTTGTGCCCGAAGCCTCACATTCTCATAGCCTGCCTGAGGAGTCTGGATGATGAGGAACTGCTTGGCGAATCCGTACGGCGGATTGATCTCCGGTCCGAAATGTTGTCCTTCCCGTTTCTTCTTACGGGCTTATGCACTCAGTGTTGCTGCGAGAGTCGCAGCAGTGTTTCTCCTAAGTTTAAACGGGAATTCACAGCATAAGTTGCAAAGCCATGGGAAGTGCACCGTTCAGAAGTGTTGTCTGAGCCTTTGTAAGTCGAGCTTAGTTGTAGTCACTGATAGCGTTTAGTACTTTGGTGCATGTCTGTTGTGTGTATGTACAAATAAATATACATATACATACGTACCTACATGCAGCTTCTATGCTTCCGAGACCTGGTTGGATCTTGCTCGACGTTTTCTGGTCGCCATAGAAACAGCCTCTAGACCCCCGAGATCACAAACCTGCATTGCAGTCATATCGTCATACCTACTTATGGTATGCATGGTAGGTCCCCTTTTTCGGTTTTACCCTATGGCCAGGACTATAGGGTAGCCCAAAACAGGAACTACAATGGAGACGATAGATGGACCCCCAGGGTAACCCGAGCCCGGTGCTGCTAACATGAAAATAGGTCAGAGGGGCCGTTTTCCTTTGCAGAAACAGCAAATTAGAGAGGCAGGTAGGGGTGTTGGGGACAGCGATAAACTCTAAACCTATGCCCTTTTCCGAAAATGCCCACCCGAAAGAAGTACGAGCAATCCCTGCAAATGTGAGAGCGCAACCCCCCGAGCGTTGACTCCGAGTCTGACGGTCACCATGGACGTCCCTTTATAGCGGTTGAGGGGTTTAGGGACGGTTTCAGTTTAGAGGCTTGGGGAGTTTAAAGTTTAGGGCTTGGGGGGTAGGGTTCATGGGCTTGGTAACCAAAAGGTTTTCGCGCTCGGGGTTTCCCATCAACTACAGAGAGGACTGTGGAGGGCGTGAGTTGCACAAGCCAGTGCTCAAAGTCCGTGCCAAGGTGGTATGAGCAGTCGCACGAAAGCAAAAAGCCCTAAGCCCATAACTCATTATCTTGGCATTAGCGCATGGACATTAGCACATGAACCAGAAACCGTAAGGCCATGAGTCCAAAACTTCATCGACTCATAGCCTTATCAACCCCAAGCACTAAACCCATCAATCCCAAACCCTGAACCTTCAACCCTAAGGCCTTATTGCGTTTGTTTTTAAGGGCTGGGTTCAACAGCATGTACACGTCTTCAACAAACTGGGTTCTTGTTAAGGATTGTCGTTTTAAGTTACCGCAAATAGGGATTACTAGTAAATGATGTGGTTTCTGTATTGTGATAACTTGAGCTGAATGCCCTAGCAAGAGCCCAGCCAAGGAGTGTTTCGTGAGCAACACCTCCCCGCTGGTGCTGTGGTATTGGGATCCAGAGCTCCCCAGCCGCAGCATGTCGGGCTCCTTGGAACATATAACAACAGCCATTGAAGTTGTATAAGTAGACCGAAACCAACTTGGAAACCAACAGCACGTGAATGAAACATGGGTAAGCAAACGAACAAACACCTACATACATAAATAAACAAGCAAAGACATGAATCTATAACATGGCGCGTATACAAGAAACTATATAACTATATCTATACCGATGTCTATATCGAGATCTATGTCTGTAAACGGTTCTTTTCAACATTCTGCATATACATGCATGTTCACCTTTGTCGTGCTGCTGCAAAAGAGCAAAGCCTAGCGTCTTCCCGAAGTTACAATCGCGATGACCAGACTTCCCCCAATGAGGCACTTGCCCGTGTTCCCAGGCATCCGGTGATTGTCGGTGCTTTGGAGGGCCAGCTGCCTGGATGAATTAGCAGATTTACTATGCTGTGCCTGCTTCATCGTGTTTGCACGGATGAAGTCGAGATTTGCGTGGTTTCGACTTCATGAGTAAAAATAATTATCGGTGTGGCGGCTTAAAGCAGCATTTCGATACATAGTGGCCGGAAACACAAGTTCTCATCCCCATCACTACAAATTATCATCCTCGCCATCCTTGCATCGGCATCGCCACCGTCCTCGTCATCATCACATCAAGTATCAAAGTCCATGGTTGGCAGCCATGACTTTTGCCACAGTTGGCATCGCTAGAAACATTGTGATCACCGTTCATTTCTTTGGAAACATTGGCCATCATCCTTCACACCATGCCCAAACGTTGAAGTACGACCCAACTCCCAACACACCTACCAATTAATCTAGAGGGTGCCATACCCTAATCCCCTCTAAACCCCAAGCCCTTAGACCCTAAACCCCTGAACTCTACATAAACTCTAAGCCCTAAACCCTAAACCCTTAAACTTTAAACCCGAAAGACCTGCAGATCCGAGCCAAGAGCCCGGTGACCCAAAAGACTGCGATACATCAGCTCCCGACCCAAATCTGCAAGGCACACCTGTACCCTAAAAAATCCTACCTTTTTGCAGGGCTCTTGTTTAAAGGATGTCCTGGTATAAAGCCCGACAAAAGCAGGTTCTTTCGGGTCCAGGCACGGCTGGAGGGTGTAGGATTTGGGGCTTCAGGATTGAGCGTTGAGCATTGAAGGTGCAGGATGTTGCATGTGTCGTTGGGTTTAGGGCTTCTTTGTTGCAGGGTGTAACTCTAAACCCTAAGCCCTAAAACCTTAAACTCCCAAGTCCCAAACCCTTTAAACCCTAAACCCCGCTCGCAGGGTTCTGGGAAGTGTAGGGCTCCGGGCTTTCGCAGGGCTTGGGGCATGGGTTGAATCCCCGTGTTCGGGTTGTTCAGGGTTTAGGAGTTTAGGGTTCAGGGTTTAAGAGTTTAGGGTTTAGGGTTTAGGCTTTTAGGGTTTGGGAGTTAGCAGTTTAGGGTTTAGGAGTTTACGGTTTTCAACTCTGAACCTTAAGCCCTCCACCATCGAAATCACCCGAGAGAGGGAGCCGCAGAATACAGTACGTCGCGCATGCCTTACGGAGGCACAGCGGCCTTAAACCTCTAGACCACAACACCCTAAAGCCTAAGACTAAGACCCTAAAACCAAAGCCGAAAGCCCTAAACTGCTTGAAATCTCCTAAACCGTAAACCCTGAACAGCGTTAATCCCTGGCCGACATGTAGAAAGAGAAGGCTCGGTTTTACAAGGTATTGGCGCGCGCATCGGCCCTCCAGCTGCTGCATTCTCCTTATCCCAAAAGCCAGCACACCCCCAACTTAACAACCCTGAGCCCAAATTGACAAGGTAAACCCCAAACCCCAACCCCTAAATCCCCCGTAAGCCTTTAAAGCCAATCTAAGTAAGCGCCAAGCATCCCAGGCTTATTCGCATCACGAAGCTGGCGAAGCGGACTACCCTCAGCGGCTCGACAGTGAGTGTAAGTGCAAAGCCCTTCGTTGCTGTTTGAGTTGTAGTCAATGCCGGAGAATGGTTCTTCGAAGGATACGGGTGCAACAAAGCTTCCATAGTTTCATTGGGGCTTAGCATTGAATAAGCTTTAGGCATAATGGGACCACTTTGACAAGCAGGGACATCGGCTTCAGTTTGGGTTACTCTCATGGTAAGGACTTCTTGAAGCCTCAGACAACTTGGCAAACTTTGCAAGCAAACCAATCACGACAGCTAAGATCGGATGGTGTCTGCGCTCCACGTTCTCTGCGAGCCACCAAGGTTTCGCTCCTGGTGTTTCTTGAATTTTTTTGTTGGGATGTGCTTTCCAGGGTTTTCTGCGTCCGGAACGTTACACCAGTGCCCATGCAACACCTTGAAACCCTAATCCTCGATCTCGATCCTGAACCACGACGAAGTGGCCCAAGTCGCCACATTAGGAAGAGATGCATAGAAGGCATGGGTCAGTCGCGTCCGAGCTGCTTGTGCAGGTATTGAACTCGTGATGTATGAGCACTGAAACAGATTTATGTTCATCCTGCATCCAACTTGACTTGAGGCAGCCCTATAGCCTACAGTCACAGGGAACCATCGGGGGAAAAAGGATTTTACTTCCTTAAATAGGCCTGATAAGACCCTTGTTATACGAGGTGGCAAAGCCCATCCGCATCTCTTCCTGAGCTGAATGCAACAGTTCTCAGTGTAGAGTTTTGGGGTAAGGGTCGTCAAGGTTCGACTCTCTGGAGAAAGCTTGCTTTTGATTCCGGACTGCAAGTCTGTACACCAGGAGAAGTTTTCAAAACAAACAGAAAGGTTCTCGAGCTCATAAAAAAACGACCATCGCGGATAGTGGGCCATCAGTGCACGCATCAGCTTCACTGATCGTTGCACTTATTTCATAGCATGATCTACTGTAGATAAAACTTAGGGCTCCAGTACTTGGATGGTAGGGTAGTAGCCAAGTAACAAGTAACTCAGTAGCTCATGGTTTAGGAAACTGAAGCCATACGAAAAGGCTGGTTAGAGTCGCAGCAGTGAGGTGAGCAGGCGAAAGGTCAAACGCTTCACCTGTAAACGCCGTCAGCCCTAAACCTCAACCCTAAACACTCTAGACCTCGGCGCATCGCCTCCAGAGTCGCCCCGGTGCAGGCGAGCGAAGAAGAAGGAGGGCCATATCAAGGATGGGCGTGGCGTTTCCTGGGGCTCCAGGTACCTACATCTTAGGTTACTATGCGCTGAGATGGCATGAGAATATTTTTTTGATAGTACCTAAGCCCCTATAAAACCTAAACCAATATGATGTGCCGCCGAGATCCATTCTCTTGGCAAGTGGAACTGTTGGGACTGGAGTTTCGAAACTGTCGTCATATCGGCTCCGCGAGGCGTTTATAAGGGTTGTACATCGGTTTCACAAGGGTTGCTTTGTGAGGTTGTTTATAAGGGATGTGGGGTGACAGGATTTGGCAAGGGCTTAGGGTTGACTTCGATGGTCACCTGCCTTCGAAACAGCAACAAACATCAACAAGCCCTGTACGGTACCAACAAATCTACCGATCTCCGCAAAGATTCCTTGTTGGGCTAGCGGGTTGATACAAGAGTACCCAACCACAAGCAGCTTAGTTTAGGGTTTCAGACACAGCGGTTTGAGATCAGCCCCTTGAATGTGTCATGCTTTATCTGGGTTTAGGGTTTAGGGGTTCAGGAGTTCAGGGTTTAGGGTTTAGGGTTGTGTTGGTTTTGAAGTGTTGGCAAGGAGCGTTTGCAGATTCAGCACGTTCCATCGCCGCAGTTGAAATCGTGCCCTGGCACAAGATATCCAGAAAGCCCATTGGCGAAGAAGGTAGATGAAACTAGGCGACCAGCCCTACATGACAATAGTGCAACCGTGCTGCAGCAAGCATTAGTTTGACTATCAAGTGGGCAACCGGGAAACTCTAAACCCTAAGCCCTAAACCCTAAACCCTAAACCCTAAACCCTAAACCATGAAAGAGGTTCTTTAGGCAGTTGTCTACGGTTGAGCGATGCCGCCTGCTTGAGCTCCAGAGCAACCCAGAGAACCCCATACCCCTTAATTAAGGAATATACCTTAAATTATAGGGCCTTAATATTAGGATTTAAGGAATATGCCTTAAATTCTAGGGGCCTTGATATTAGGGTTTAAGGTGTATTCCTTAATTAGGGGGTATTGGGTTCACTGGAAATAAGCCCTAGTAGCACTTGAAGCAGCCCTTTGTCGGCCCTTCAGAGCAGCAGGAACTCTAGAGCCCGAGATGCCTAAAGGCCTGAAGCCGCAACACTAAGCACGGAGTCCATGGAGCGACGGTTTAAGGTTTAGGGTTTAGGCTGGATTGCCTGTGGTTGTTTTCGGATCCTACGAAACAACGGGAGACAATGAGGAGAAGGCAGGAGATGGGAGACCAGCAGAACACCGTGGAAGGGGTCGACGGATCCTGTGTAGTGTAGAGGCCTCAATAATTAGAATAGGGTTTTGGGGTTCCTTACAATAATTACAGTATAAGATAGCCCAAACCCTATTCTACTTATTAAGGCCCCTATATTAGTTGAATAAGACGTGACAGTAAAACTTGCACTGCAACACAGCCGGCGTCGCATCTCGGGTAACGTTTTTTCCAAGTGGCCTCGCGCCCACCCTAGCCAGCTCTGTTCACGCTTAGCGTAAGAACTTGAAAGTGTGTACCACACTGTTTGGAAGCATCAACCTTGAAACCTCTGCCCCCCAAAAGCGAAAACGTAATGCCAAACCACGAAGCATGCTGGGCGAGGCCACTCGTTTCTTGTTCAGGATTTTGATGTAAGTTAGCCCAGTATGTGGAAAACCTGATATCTACTTCGTACTTTCAACTTGATAAAGTTCCTTCGTTTAGAAGAAAACAGTAACAGTCCAAGGATCCTCCTGCCTTTCCCGATGACTCAGGAAGAGAGGCAACCAACTCTTGCTTGTGGTGTTGGGTGATGTCGGGCGTGGTAGGTTTTAGCACGAACTGTTGGATTCAGCGTTCGGCTTACAGATTGAATTCTGCGCTGTCACATTCAGAGTAAGGATTCTGGGTCGGGTTTCACACTCAGAGGGGTTGTTGTCCCACTGGATTCAGGACGCATGTGCGGTCTTACCAGGCTTAAGTTTAAGGTTTGAGGCTAAATGGCTTCGTACTCAAGGCAATAAAAATACCTGACCCAGCCGACATTGTGTTTCTACCCATAGGCCCCAAAGTAGTTCCTTTCTGTGGCTTATATTTAGGATCCTATTAGGTAATACCAAAAAAACCTGATAGGGGCCACGAA